TTGATGGGCTTAGCCGCCTCACACCTCTTACACTTCCTGATCTCCAAGAAGGGGGACGAATCAACTTGCTCAAAATCGTCAGAAATCCTGACTCCACAGCTAAATGACTCGGCACCTCCTACTGCGACCACATGGACTACCCGGCTTTTAATGTTTCTATACATGAGGACATCAGGAGCCCACTGTCGTGGTGCAATCACGGGGTCGGGATTGTCATCTGCCTCGGATGCAGAGTCTTCACCGTCAGAAGGGCTGGAAGAGGACGAGGATTCGGAATCTGAGCTGACACCAACCGCTGTCTGGTCGGGTGACTGATTCGTCTCCAGTACGCAGCTGAAGGATGCTTTGGGATCGGCTACGGTCTCCGAGCCTATCATGCCAGATCTGGTCGAGTCTGGTGAAAAAGCCCTTGTCCGGATCTGTTGGAGGACAAGTTCAAATTCACGCAGGGGCTTTGCTAAGTTATCACGACCATAGCACTCAGCAGAACTTTTCCCAGTCGTATGGTGTCCAAGGATCGAGCGTGTGTCAGGGTCTAGCCCCCACTTGGCGCACCAAGATAATGGAGTTGCTTTCAAGGTGTGAATCGAGGTGAATGGTGATCCACCTTCGACACTGCTTAACAAATTTCTGAGCCATTTGCCTCCTTCCTTTGTGGTCACTGCCCTGGAGGACCATTTGCCATCAAGGGTTGGAGCCGCGAGCAAGGGCTCATGGTCCAAGCAATCTGCTGCCCTACCTGCAAGTTGCAAAACCTTGACAAATGCAAGTCCCCATGGCGGGGATGTCACGCCCCACACCGGAGCGACCAATGGCATAGAAAGCCCCCCTTTAGCGACCAGTCTAGCAGTTTTGTGAGATCTGGTTCTGCACTCTACGTATCCTGAGATCTTGCCTTCCCTCTCAGCAATGTCTGTGACAAAATTGTAGACTCTACGGATGTCCGACCATCTACTTCGACTGTACAAACAAAAGAGCATGGCGCCACAGGCCGTTCTGTCTGTGATGTCCATACGTTCGTCGGAAAGGAATATCTCAAGATGCTCGACTTCCTTGACAGTGAGCACTCTGGCTTGAACTTTCTCTTTCCTAAGGCAATCACTAGATTCTATCCTGTGAACCTTTGCTGAGATTAGTGTCCCTGAATCAAGGCTAACGTCCATACCTATCACATGTTGGCAAAAGTGGACTGCTTCCACAAACCCCCTGAGATTCGAGGCTGGTTTCCCTGATGCATTCAGAGACTGCACATATTCTTCGACTAGTTCTGCAGTCAACGGAAACGGACACAAGCTGAAATAACGAGATTTGTACCACTCAACATACTGAAGAATGCTTGACCCTCGTCTGAGGAGTGTGCCGTGACTTCGGCTGCCCAAAACTAATCTCATGTCATCCAGTCGGTGGTTTCGGACGGCTGCACTCAAATCGAAACCCCTGGGCCAGGCTTCTCGTCCGGTAGCGAAGATTTTGTACCACTTCTCCAAAGCTTTGTTCATGGCTGAGTCTTCAACATCCTTCTCTGAGATATCAGTGTTTCCAAAATCAATGACATCGCTGAAGGCTCCTCGAACGGTTTTACCTGTCGAAGGATGAGAAGAAGATGTCGACTGCCTTCCAAAGCTATCAAAAATCTATGGGACTCATTACCGGAGTGGGGATCAGCTTGGCTGGATCTCTGTTGAAGATCATTGACAGCCCCTTTCTCTCCCAAGGCATTTTGAACTTGAACGTGGGCTTGACAGCCAAGCATGAATCATCAATCATGGACTTGAGGTTATTCCTACTGGCGTCGTCAAGCACGGATGCATGGTCCCTCGGAAAATCTGGTTCGGCGATGAGGGTGTCATCATATCCATCCCAGTGCGGACTTTCTTGACCGTCAGGAAACAAAGCATCTTCATTAAAACCTACGGTTTCGGCATCCAAATCATCAGGCAGAGGCTTACGGATGGTGCAAGAGTTAACGGATGCTGAATCGGATGCAACGTCACCGTCATGGGTCCTCTTGGAACCTCGCCGCATCACTCCATGCGGTCAGTCAAGCTCAGGCCAGGAAGTAGGTTTCGCGTGCAAGAACCTGACGTCAAGATGTGACTATTCAATTCCGAAAAACCTTGCGCCACAACGCATAAAATAGAATTTAACTGCTTCCACAACTGCACAAAACATTGAAGTAAATGCTGGAGGAATGGTTCCACTCAAATGAGGGTCAAACCACCAAGTCTCCACGGTCACTCGACCCTCCAGATGCGGTCACTCGACTCGCAGCCTGGCAACTTCAAATTGAACACTCGTTGATTCCGCAAATAAGGAAGTAAGATCAAGCAGCTGACTCAGATCGTAGAAAAACACATCTGGGTTCATACACAAACAATATCAACCGGCTTCACCTCTCAGGCAAGGGTCACTCGACGCCAGGCCTTGAACAGAACTGGTTATCAAAGAGAGGTTTTACTGACTTCAATGAATCTGAATCAATGAGGAAATATTGCATTGATGCAATCTCTGAGACTGGGGCGCGGATCTCACCTAAGAGTGTCACACGACACTCACTCCAAGGGCGACACTTGTCAAACCACATTTCTTCATACACGTTCAAACACGGAAAAGTGTCTGAGTGGGGCGCTCAGGCGCTGCGTCCGACGCCCAACCTAGAGCATCGATCAAGCAAACGCGTGATCTAACCCAATGCCACTTGGCAACGTTTACATGTTCTGTGCCAATCACTTTATGTGTAAAAACTGTCAATTGACAGTTGAACTCACAAAGTTCGTGTCACTCGACACCCCATCTGAGGATGGCACATAAGAGGGAAGCCGAAAAGACCCCCCCCAACAAATTTTTCAAAACTGCTCACTTGAGCCTTTCATACACATAGGTGTGATGAACAAATGATCCACACGCACACTTCAGTTGTCCTTGGTCCTCACGTCTGTGCATGTGTTCTGACTTGAGAGATATCCCTTACCTTTACACAGCAAAGTGTCCATCTATAATGCATATTATGCCATGTGTGGATCGTGTCTACATGGGATGATGCGGACAAACCCCCGGAGGAATCAGCCCATTTTCAAAGAGCCGAAGTGTGTTTGGATTTACGCCTGTGGATGGCGACCATCGAAATTTAGATGCCTTGCATCTATTGCAAAAAGTCTTGAAGAAGCCTTCGCTGCAGCCGAAGCCAAAAGCAGCACATGGTGACCCGTAAATGGCCTACCGTCAGGTCAAAGTCGAACCTCCAAAGTTGCTTGAATGTCAGCTGACATCGAGAAGCGGCACCACACCTATCGGTCAACTGGCCCTTGCTGTGTGCGCTCTGGCGCAAGGTCTTCAGGTCGAAGAAGGAGGCCGAAGGGTCCGGCCATTGCAGGGTCTCTGCTGGCGATGCACTCCATGATGCGCCCCGTGTACTCTCGATAGGTTTCAAACCTTTGGAGGAGCTCCTCATGGTCTGCTCTGAGTGCCATGAGGCTTCTGTTGAGCCCTCCGATGGTGTCGATCAGGTCTGAGGCATCGAGATAGTGAATGGTCACGAACGTCTGGTGACGATTTTCCGCGGCGATGTTGCCGTCGTCAATCATGTTCACCGCGTCGTCCTGGATCGTGTTCAGAATGTCCTTGTAGGCATCCCATTGGAACACAATCAGGTGGAACTGGACCAGTTCCGAAAGGTCCTCGTCCCACGGGGCCCACAACGTCGGCAAAGAGCTCAGCGATGGGAGGCAGTTCGCGGTGTGCGACGTTTTCACCAAGTAGGTGCCCAGCCAAGGACTGATGGCCCCGATCGTCTGATTCTCGCGATCGCCTTGGTACCAGATCGGCACCCGCTTGGAAAGCGGCGGCAAATTGTCAAAGAATCCTTCTTCGTGACCTTCGTGCCAGTCAGGGGTCATGGCACCACGCCCGAGGCAGTACACGGAGAGGAGATGCGAGTACACGAAAAACTTTCTGAAATAATGTTAAGTTGGAAAATTGATATGGTTTATGTTCATTGCAACATGTCTGATGTTCGTGATTGGACATGTTGACTTGACTTTGATGAACATGACATTTTCCAACAATGCAGCACTTGCTGCTAGTCACACTTGTGACTATAAGCCAGAAATAAACGGTAGAAAACAATCTGAATGCATGAACATTGAAAAGATCCGATGCATGGACATGGACATGTACATGTAACAATTCACCGCACACTCATCAATATTCGTTTTTCCTGATTCCCCAGTCTCATAAAGATCTATCATGCTTCACATGAGAGAACCCATATGTGTATACAAAGAGCTTCAAAGTGTGAGCACTCGCAAGGTAACAAACATATGAAAGTTTGCACAACATCGGTTCATATACACATGAATCTATGATATCATATATGTACACTTCTGAATATGTTGATGTATACAAAAAGGTTCAAAGTGTGAGCACTCGCAAGGGAAGAGACATATGTGAGTTTGCACACCATGGGTTCATATACCACAGTTTCTGTGATATGATATATGATTACTTGTGGACATATGTATGTATACAAAGAGGTTCTAAGTGTGAGGGTTCGCGAGGGCAACGACACATGTGAGTTTGCACAACATCGGTTCATATACAAGAGTAGCGATAAGATACATGTATACTTGTGAATATATGTATGCATACAAGAGGTTCTAAGTGTGAGTGTGTACAAGGGCAGGAGCATATGCGGTATATGAAATGTTGCATAGAAATGCTATATATTTGGGCTCTAACTGTGGTGATTTTGTGGTCTTGTTAGAGGTTCTAACTGTTAGAGTAAGAACCCGGCTAGATCTATGAATATCGTTTTTTTTCCAAAATAGGTTCTAACTGAATGTCCGTTACTACAGTTTTAAATGTTTTAAAAGCTTGCAAACGGTTGCAGGCGCTTGCGAAATGTTTTTTTCGGGCTCCTCAGCCCATGAAGTCAAAGTAAACCATTCACTACACCACTACACTACACCTTTGCAAAAAGAAAATCTCAAAATCTTTCCGTCCTGAAATCTCCGCAGCGTGACTCCTTGCGGAAGCGCGGTTTGACGGTCCTGCCACGGACCGCGGCCGGGTCCACAGTTGTCGGGCCAACAGTTCCGTTGATAGCCTTCGGGGGCCTGGCCCTCCTTGTCACCCTGAAGTAGGACCTGCTCACTGCGGCAGTTGGAATGTGATCGATGGAATCAATATGAATCAATCCAATGTTGGCAAGCTTCAACTGCGTCTTAACATTCTTAACCATCAAAATACCCAAATGCTATGGTGTCAGCCCTTACCATTCCCGGCATTCCTGCCTCAGGTGTTGTCGTGCTGAACTGATACCCTGCGGGAGAATCCTCGGACTCCTCAATCTTACGACCAGCTTTGATGGATCGCACATAATTCGAATCTGTGTCCAAGATTTGAGTCAAACCGTACGGCACACCACCACCTCCAGGGGAACCCCCAAAAAAAAAACCAGGGGAACCCCCAAAAGGTGGGAACAATGGTCCATAATCGTCCTGTTCTTGTAAGATTGGAGGGACACGGAAAGCTTACTTCTTTGCTTGTGGTGTTGTTGGCGGGTGAGGTCCTTGATGATCCTGAGGGTTTGAGAATCCCGCACCTTCGTAGTGTCCTGCATAACGGTAGGCTCTCACAGGGCAGCCTGTCATGTCATTGAGATGCAACGTGAGGGCGGCAGGGTTGAACTGCAAATGGCTGATGTCGAGGCCGTTGTCGTGGCTGTTCACGGCAGACGCACCGCAACGACATTCCACCCCCTCCACGAGACCGAAGATGTCCAAACCCTTGCCAATGCAGAACTCAAAGCATAGAACCGGGGTCATGGCATTGGACCTCATGGAATAAAATGGCAAGCCACTCTTGCAGGGAGATCCTGTGTGGTTCATGCACGACCAATCATACACCGATGCCGCGTCACCTGCACAAAGTGTCTGATGCCACACCACACCAGTCTGCCGATCAAAAGAAACAAGAGATATTCAAAAGTAATTCAAAGTGCTATCTACCATTCGAAGACATCCCAAGACCAGCATAGACCAGCTAAAGTTTGTTTTTCATGTTCCACGGTTTTTTCCCACCTGGTGCATCATGGCCTGTCAGCCGCTCAAAGCAGCCCAACTCAATAAAGTCATCGTCCAAGTTGGTTTCAGCCGGGCAAGCAGGAGGAGCGCTCGCGGGACACAGGTTGGTGATGTTCGGATTGCAGGGCAGCACTTGGCACTCGCATGGCACCGAAGTAGCTGGCTCGGGATATTCCGAACACAAGGAACTGGAGACATCCGCACCATCGAAAATGCGGAGGCACTTCACTTCACGAACGTGCACAGCACCTCGTAGGTTCGATTTTGGTCCCGAAGTCCAAACGTCGCAAATCTCTATTCACTGCACTACTGGTAGTTTATATACAGTAGTTATACTATACAGTTATGCAGTTATACAGTTATACAACATATTTGGACTTGAATTTCGGCATATTCATATGGACTCATTTTTGACTCAGAAAGGAGCGCTGTGAGTCCGTGTGTTTTTGGTTGTTTGTGAGTTTGAACAGAAACAAAACAATGATGTCGACAATGGATGAACGTTGTGCAGGAACAAAAAAATCCCATAAGGTGACTTCTGAGAAACCAGTCTGCATGGAACTTGCACGGTCTGGGGATTTTCCCCTTCTTTTTGGTCGAACCCACCTGTGGAGCAGTCGATGCAGTCGCTGAAGGATGTGGCAACCCAGGCAGCTGCCACTGAGGGATGCGTCACGTCTTTCCGCTGGAGCCGGGCCACACGTTTGTGGGTCAACTTGTTGAAGGCGCGAAGTTTCTCCTCTTCATGTGATGGTTGCTGTATGTTGCTGTGAAATTTGCCGCAATTGAACAAAAACCATGAATCAAAACGACCTGGCATTGGGCTTACCAAGGATGATTTTTGTGTGTTCAAACACCTTTGAGTCGTAAAGACATGTAAAGACCACGTCATGTTCCGACAACATGTCCTCCAAGACTCCAACTCCAAGGTCTTCCTTCACAGTCTCCACACTCTGCTTGTGCTGCAACAACACACGACCCGCAGCCGGACCAACTTCACCACAATTTCCATCCTTGCATTCGCCTTCGCCAACCGCAAAAGCTATGTTTCGTGCGAACCAAATTGTCGCAAAACATTTCACCACCATGCCGAACATTGTTCCGGCAAAGGCAGGTATTGGCAATCGAGTACTCACAACTCGGTTCCAATCCTTGATTCGGTCAATTTTCAATGCATTTCAAAAAAAAAAAGGACCTTGCAATCAAGAAACATGGACCAACAAAAATTTGATCTCAGCCGAGTTTCAGTAAACGAGGGTAAAATGGGAGTTTTGAAGCGGGAACTGTGCAAAAACGGCCGCGGCCGACATGTGTGACAATGTGAAAATACAACGGTAGACAAACCACCATTTGAAATTGATTCGACCTTCAGTATCCCTTCCTTGGGTATCAAACATGTACTCTGAATCCAATTCAATTTTCTAATCATCTCATCTACTTTTGGTTTTTCAACTGTCTGTCTGAACGTGGTTGATGTTGCTGTTTTTACGGTTTTTCCCGACTTGGTCGCAACTGATGATCCTGCACATGCGCCCCAAAACAACATGCCCTTGGGGTAACATACGGTCACCGTAGAAAACCTAGCGCCAATATGGAAGGTGGAGAAAAACCTCCCCTTCACTGAGGGATAAACAAAAGTCCATGAAACTGCAGCCACACAGTGGGCCACACGGCCACAACAGGCGTGGTGTAATTTAAAACCAGCTGCGCCTGCCCCTTCGCCGCAAAGTACCACTTTGGGGTGTGAACATCTGCGTTTTGACTCACCACTAAATTCTTCTGTGACGACCCTCGCTTGCAGTGCGGTCTTTTGTCCAAAGGGGTGTGCAAGGCTGGTCTGTCGCCAGGCTTTGGGCTTGGCACACCCCCAACCACCTGACAAGGTATCAGGGTGGCTGAGGGCGGGCGTGAAAAAGTTTCTCAAAAGAAACAGAACATGTATGAAGTTGCGACCATTGTCATTCAAAAAGGAAACCATTGTTCAAAGTTCACATGTTTGACGTTCAAATTTGTAAGCCAGAGCTCGGTTGATTCACAGAAAGTTCATCACCTCACATCATAATTTAGATCGTTTGCCGTTGCCTTGCTTATCTAAATTCTTCATAATTCTTCTGTGACGACCCTCGTGCAGTGCGGTCTTTTGTCCAAACGGGTGTGCAAGGCTGGTCTGTCGCCTCCCCTTTCCATATCATGGCCAGAGTTGCACACAAAGTTCAACCAAATTCCGGCACAATCAATGTTGTCACGCAAGCATCCACAGCTCAGCAAGTAGTCAATCTGAAGGCGTGAAGGATCGTCTGAGATGTTGGACTCTGTTGGTACCCGCGTGATCCAATAATTGCATTCTGCTTCATTCTCAGCTTTGAGGATGGCATCAAGTATAGGAAGGGAATTCTTGCTGCTAGTGTGGCAAGCGATGAAAGCATCTCTCACAGCATCATTGTCAGTATGGATCACAACATTGCATTGATGTAGAAATTCTTTCCAAACAATCATTGCACAAAGCACAGAGAAAAATTCGCATTCGAAAATTATTGTCTTTCGTTGGGAGACATTGATCTGCTGTAGAAGTTCCGGTGGCATCCTTTCAGAAAAGAAACGGCGCCTGCATCCAAGCTGGACAACCAACACTCCACCAACGCCAGAGAAAGGCACCGCTGCTTGAGGTTCATGTGAAGCATCCGTAAACAGGAACCATGTTGCCGAGGATTTTGATGAAATTACTCTGGGCGCACCATTGACCAGCATATCTCTGAACCGTGACAGAGCGTGAACAGCACCTTCAGATATCATCGAAGATTCAGAGCTGTAAGCATGCTGCGTCACCACTGCCAGACAACGGCGGGCCAAACGCCCATAGAGTTGGCCTGAAGCGAACTGCATCCTTCCTCTCAGTTGGAGGGCCTCAAGTTTCGTCAAAGACCTTGATCCAATGGCTCGATCCAACGATTCAGCCAACTCGTTTCGTCTGCTTTCGGTGTTGGCGATCTGTGCTACACCATGATGTAGTTTTGACACATCAAGTTCCACACCAAGCGCCACCAGGCTGTCGCAAAAGGGAGGTGCTTTTGGTCCATCTTCAGCGAACCGCCAACCCAGCAACCTAAAAACTGTTTTGACTGTGTAATCCACTGATGCAGCTTCACGGGATTCTGCAAGAGAAACAAAATCATCAAAGTAGTTGGTGGTTATCACCCAGAAAATCGAAGTCAGAATGGCCCACAAGCTGTGTGAAATCCGCAGGAAGCTGTGGACAGACTTCACACTTCCAAAAGGGAGTGCCTTGAGGCGAAAAACCTTCAGGGACAACGTGTTGGGATCTCCGACAACGATATACGAAAACGAAAACTGCCGGGACGCAGGGTGTACTGCGCACTGCCTGTATGCGCTTTTCAAATCAAACTTTTTGCCAACCAAGCATGACCACCTTCTGCATGGCACATGACTGCACTGACCATTGCCGCCACCACATCAAGCGTATGAGGTTTTGGACTCTCCCTTGGTTGGGATGCAGCGTTGATTCCAGACCAGGAGAAGTCGTCAACACATCTGATTTTTCCACTCTGTTTGACACCAAAACGTCTGTTGAGCGGAAAATGCGGTGGCACCTCATTCAGGTCAAAAGGTCCTTCTGCTTCTCCACGGGCAACTTCCTGTAATGTCTGGTCCCAAACGGAATGTGCAATTTCTGAATCGAAGAAAACAACCTGCCCATATGAAAGGCCATCCCTTTGCAGCTTAGCTTGGCTTGGGAATGCAGCTCTCCTTCTGTCATTGTAGCTGGGGTGACTTTCGATGGCCACAAGTTTGTCAACCCAGTCTGTCAAGTCAATTTTGAGCCAGCGCAGAACTCATCCACAACACCCATGTCGCTGTAATTGATTGACTGGAGCATCTCTTTCCAAACAAGGATCCTTTTACCCTGCAAAACTTCTGCAACTCCAGGTTCCAATGTTGCCACAACTTCTTCGAAGATGAAGTGATCTCCGTAACCAGTACTTCAGGGCTTGAGCCCTATGGGTCATGCGTTGCGAGCATGACTGCTTCAACGACTTGCCAATGCAGTCCAGGAGGATCGGTGGCAAGAAGGACTGAAGTTTGGCCGGGTGGCCTGCCTTGACTGACATGTCCACGAATTCATCTGGAGTCCAAGGAGTCCCCCAAACTTGAAGCTGCCAGTCCTCATTGGTGTTGGTGTCCTCCGCTTTCAAGTTCAATGTCTGCAAAAATTCACCTGAAAAAGCCATTGTGGCATGATCTCCTAATTTTTCAGAAAACATTATAGCATGATTGTCAGAAAAACCAGTGTCGCTCTCATCCAAAACATTCACGTCATGACGTGGCTTGCCAGTTTCCTCGAAGTCTGACCCCCCCTTCATCGGAGAGGACATGTGTTCAATAGCAAGGAGTCGGGACCCTTTGGGCAGCCATTGATTGGGTTTTTGCACAAGCAATACATCATCTGTTTTTTGTTCTTTGCAAAGTTGAAAATTTTGGCATACAGGACTTGGGTCCTTGAATTTTGAAACGTTGTTTGTATGTACGTACCAATGGTGGAGGAATTCTGGGTGACCTTGACTGCTGTCCAACGGATGCTCTAATCTTCTGCAATGCCTACCTGTTCCAATGTATCTGCCAAAGGGGCGATACCACAGCGGAGCAGCACACGGGTAAAAACAAGGTGACGGCGCCTGTAAGAGGCCGTGTGTTTATGCTCATTGCATTTGCACCGATGAAATCAATTGCTTCAAAAACCCAAGGTTTTTGCACATTCTGATCGAAGTCCATCATGAATCTAGAGCATAAAACACTGTAAGGCTGACCGAGGACATGCGTTTTTGGAACCCCTCGCAGCATTTTCATCACTTTTTTAACTCTTTGCCGGCGCGCCTGAAGTTTCAAGTGCTTTTTTTTCGGCACTCTTCTGCCAAAGCTTGCCACAATGACTTTTTGCATTGTCTGCGCCACAGCCAAGCATAAACATACGACCAGAAAATTTGATCGTTCACATGTCCATCAACTGCTCGGCTGGTCACAGTCTTTGGGATTGCCTTTTTGACATGGTGCCAGATTCTGTCACACTGCTGAGTGCCCGCCTTTTTCACACCTGTAGCGTAGCATCACGTAGTTGTATAACTTGAAGACAACGTGCAGTAGCGTAGCATCACGTAGTTGTATAACTTGAAGAGAACGTGCAGTAGCGTAGCATCACGTAGTTGTATAACTTGAAGAGAACGTGCAGTAGCGTAGCATCACGTAGTTGTATAACTTGAAGAGAACGTGCAGTAGCGTAGCATCACCAGTTAGACCCCCGTCACGTAGTTGTAACAGTAGCGTAGCATCACGTAGTTGTATAACTTGAAGAGAAGGTGCAGTAGCGTAGCATCACGTAGTTGTATAACTTGAAGAGAACGTGCAGTAGCGTAGCATCACGTAGTTGTATAACTTGAAGACAACGTGCAGTAGCGTAGCATCACGTAAGTGTGCAAGTCCCATGAACGTTAACATCCCCCACCCCACCCCCCCACCCCACCCCCCAACGAACCGTAAATGAAGAGACAGGAAAAATGACATACGCGCACGGCCTCTTATAGGCGCCGTCACCTTAAAGTAAAAACAACTGCAATCAAACGCGCAAGTCCCATTGGATAAGCAGTCTCATCAGCTGTCGCGAACCCATTGGTTGCGTTCAGTCCCCATCGGGCGTGCTTATGTCGGCTACTTTGTCCTGGGCACATTGCCGACACAGCCAAAAATTCATCGGCATTGAATGCCAACACTGTTTTCTTTTTCCTCAATCCACCGTACTGACATGAATGGAAAATTGAATACATGGCAAGGTGTGCAACTTCCGTCCAAAAAGTTGTGGCCCAAAATAAACTGAACTGAGGATTCTCTACAACAAAAATACATCCAAATTCAACAGCCCATTTGACTAGCTTCGCAGTTAAATGATACAGCTGATTGGCCAGAGACACTCGACTCAGTTCTGAAGGACTCAGATTTTGAATTCCGTTTGGAAATTGATCTGTGCGCAATGGCCTCGGTCCATTTCTCTTGCTGCCGAACTTTCTTTTTAACGGGATTTGACATGCTCTAGAAGCAGATCCGCATGGAGGAGCAAGAATGATTTTTGGGCACAATGGACGTGGACCGCTCAAGGCTACCTATTGTGAAGTAAGAAAGGGGGAGACAAGGAGATAGAGTAAACGCAATACGCGAGGAACAAGGTTATATATATATATAACCACGCGCACGCGATACGTCGAAAACG